TCTCGAATGACTATTCCACGAGAGACTCGTCATGAGTCGAACTCAAACCCTATCTGGATCGATCGCGAATAAGGCTAAGAGCCGTGTATGCAGCAGTGCAAAGAAGGAAACTTTGCGAATTATGACAAAAAAGCAATCGCACCAGTGCAATACGTTCGATCTTCCAACTTGGCTTGCTTTGACCGTTCGGGTATACAGAGGAGCTATGTATTGCTCACTCGTCGTTTTGCATCGCGGCAGGATTGGGAACGGCGAAAGGAAGTCATGGTTGGTTGTGTAATAAGGAAGTAAGAGTACCACAGGACGATTCCAATGCAGCAATGCAGGTGCTCACGGCCTAAATAATGCTTATGGACTGCATCTTAATGCATGGCGTTGAGATATTGCGGACACCTGCAGGATTCCTTGACACAGGAACGCACCAATGGCAGTGTGCGAGAGGTACGACTATCGAAGATACCGGCAACCACCCTCATTTTTTGCTTTCGATTCCATCATTCTTACTTGTGCTCCGTGACACCCTTTGATTCGCTCTGTACAACTCACCGTCTTTCATAAACAGCAGAAGCTCGCGGAGACACATGGCATCCTCTGTGTGCTTAGTAGTAGAGTCATGTCGATTCATCATGGTCCTCTGTTTATCCGAAACCTCGAGTCCAAGATAATTCACAGCTTGAACCTTGTGTTCGGTTGATAGAGTTTCCAGGAACGAGGCTTTGGTTTCCAGCATCTTGGGAGTCTTACGGGCAATCCTACCATTCTTCAACAGCCCTCCAGTGTACATCCCATCTCTCTTCCCTCTCCCTTGGGCCTTATATCCTCTTCTGCGTGTGTTACAGGGAACCTTGCGCATGTCTTCGAGTTCAACATCGAATTGTCCATACCTGCTCCGAAGGAAAGCAGCTGCAGGACAATTGTAACCATTCCGTTTTCTGCAATCTTCACAGTCGCCAACAACCAACCTGTCATGCTGACGCAATGTAAGAATACAGCAATTCCTTGTGACCGCCACCATCTTCCTCGCAGTGACGTCGCGACCTTGTCCATTCTCAGAATAGAGATCGTCAAATGGTTCATCGTCTCCGGCCAGTGAAGAATGAACAAGAGCTATCCGTTCCTTGGAAAGTTGGTCACCGATTCGGTATCCCAAATTGCATATCCAAGCAACAGGAGTTCCCATACCATTCAACGCAATGGGGACAATGTCACGGTTCATTTGCAGGAATGTCGAAACAACAAGACACAAAATGGAACAGGTACGCGGAATGACGATGGTACATGGATCGGCTCTGTCCATAGCATCGCGACGTATAAGACTAACCAGAGTGTCAACCAGAAGCCGTGCAAGAGACACATTGAGTTCAACCGGTGAGTCTTTTGATTTGATGGCATGGTGGTTGTGACTTTCGTTGCTGCAGGCAGTTGCTGCAGGGGACACCACTATGACCGGTACATCCATAATTGTGGTTGAAATATGGTCCTGTTGCATACATTCTCAGATAGTGATCAGCTGCAGCATGTTCTTTTCGCTCTTCTGACCAATGTCGCAGCACCAGTTCTGCGACCTTGGCTCTTTGTTCGGTGGTCTTGCAATGGTGGATCAACTGGACTTGCCGGTAAGCCTCGGATTTGCTGTTGTCGCCGTTTCTGTTGTTGATCCGCACGAAGGACTTATCCTTGAATTTCTTAACAAAGCCATCATTCTTCGAAAAGTGTTGCATGACATGAAAATAACAGAGGGTCGAAGCATACTGATGGGGGGGTACAGTTGCTTGTTCCCTCCACGCTTTCCAGTCGATCGAATGGATGGAAGTCCCACTGGAGCTTACCACTTCCTCCGGTTTTACTTCGGTAGGTGAGTCTTCCAGTTCAGTTCTGCGTTGTGAGACTGTTGGCAACTCAACCAACTCTGTTTCATGCATGGCGAAAGCATTGTCAGTAACTTGACGAAGATCGCAACACTTAGGATAGTTGTGGAACTGGCGGTGGGCCTTAATAAAGGCATCAGCACGATCAGAAGTTCCCCAGTCTAACTGAAAGTCTACTCGAAACAGCTTCCAACAAATGTCTCGAAGAACATAAAGTGCAAGGCAGTAAGGGTAAAACCTCTCTGCTCCGACGTGAAGGTACGCGATTGGTCTCAGTGATGATGTAACCTGACCTTGGGTCTCTCTCTCTTTAACAGACAAGGCACCAATGACAACGAGTGTGCTCATATCAACACAGGTACCTCCTGTGCCATCTGCGCAGATCTGTCGAGTTCCACGAGTTCTGAGAGCGAGGTTCATTAGCATAAATAGACCAGTCGGTGAGGTTGCGAAGAAGGCTTGCTCCATTTTGTCCTTGAATTCAGTCTTCTTGTTCGGTGTGTCCAGGCTCATGGCCTTTGCAAAACGGCTGTGGACGTCTCCAAATGACAGGTCGAATACAAACATGTCATCTACCTGAGCATTCAGTGCCCCCGCGAGCTCATCTGCAGAGTCAAATCGTTTGGCTTGGTAAGACACTGGTACGTCCAACCTCCAGTTTTGTAATGCCCTATAAAGGTTGTATGCATTGTCCAGCTTATGATGTTTACCCAACTGGCTCTCCATGTATTTGATCTTTTGGTGATCCATGTAACTACGGAGTTGCCCCTTCAGGTGCTCTCGGAAGTCAGGCTTCAACAGGTGTACGTATGTGTGCAGGGGGTGGTTTTGGTTGTTCGTGCGACGACTATATTCGATTGCTTGTGTGAGTGTTTGTCTGATTTCTTCTGGACGTATCTTCAATATGCATCTGTTTTTGACACTGTGTTCTTGCTGGATCATTGACTGTACGAAGCTCTGTACGGCGAACGGTAATCCATGTTGGTCCTGTGGAGATGGCGGTTGTGCTTTGGTTGGATGGTTGTGTTGTAGGAAACTCTTGGAATACACTCGGTAAGTCTCTGGGTTCTCCAACAGTTGCTTTCGAATCTGGCATCGCCAATTGCACTTCACCGGAAGTGCACTGTGTGGATGGGGGACAGTGGCGATGCAGTGGTATTTGTACTTGATGCATGTTTTGGTTTTCTCTGTTCCGTCTGCTTTGATACAATACTCATCCATGTAATACCCACCATAATAAATAGACATCTCAGCTTGAGCATCTTTCAATGTGTGGCATGGTTTGCATTTCCCGTCTTCGATGAAATTAGATAGTCTGTTAGGAGCCTTCTTGCATGAAGTTTCTACTGTTGCTGTCTTTCCATTCTGCAGGTATCGTCCTTGATTCGGTACTCCTTCGCCGTAATATGTCTGCCAGTGGTACCCCTGATATCCTTGTTGGTTCATATTCCATTGATTGCTATTCCATTGTCTAGACATGTTTATACTACTTTATTGCTTTTACCAATGCTGCCAACCACAACAAGAACCATGAACACAACTGGATCCTAGTGGCAACGAATGCTACTATTGCAGATCTTCGGTCGGGAAATTTCGAAATCTCTCTGGGCCTTCTCGAACCTTCGGTTCTGTCTTCCAGAACCTTCTGCCACCGCAGTTTCAAAGTCTCTCAAATGTAGACTTGCCGACTCCATCTTAGCCCGCCTTCATGCTCTATCTGTGCTAGAGTATGCATTTAATTGCTTTCGTTTGAAACTGGCGCCTGTTGTTTGGATGCCGAAAATATGGAGAAGCACTCTCTGTTGGCGGGAGAAGCTTCCTTTCGCATTCTTGGGATTTTTCATTGTTGCCTTTTCTGGACCTTGTTGTAAGTGCGACCATGGCGTTTTTTGTTGTTCGTTTTCGTCCATGCTTCCTTCCTTCCTTGCTAACCTTTCTCTTCTCTCTTTCCATTCTGCTGTCCCCTCATCGCAGCAGGAACCCTTGCCGTCGCACCTTCCTTCCCATCTTCACGACCCTACCAGACCTACCATTCGGCGCTGCTCCAAGGTGTTTCTGGTGTACTGCTGGCGTCGCGGTTGCACGATGCTGTCATCGCGGTTGCACCCTACCTATCCCCTTCCTCAGTGGTCAAATGCAGTTGCTGCTATGTCTGCGGTTGTCCTTGTTACCATCCTCATGGCGTCATGGCGGGTGCTTTTTCCCACCGATGTTTCTTTTTCTTTGGCCAACGTAAGTGCTCTGGTTCGTGACTCGACTCCTATTTCTCTTTGAGTGTTGTTTCGTGTCCATGTGCTAACTCTGCGTTTTTCCCTTTTAAATCTCACATGTTTTGTTTCATGTGTTCGTGACCGATCGACCTCATGTGCTTCGCCAGGAGTTCACCAGGTCCTGCTCCATGCTGGTCGTTTCTTCCCCGACCCCAAAAGGTGTCGGAACACAGCGGAAGCGGTATTGGTTCCAGCTACAGTACGGTGGTACCCTAACTTACCCCAAGGCCAGTACCACAAGTCCAGCAGGAGCCGACCCGCAGCGAGAGGTGGATAGCCCGACAGGACAAGTTGGGCGTTCCAATCCATAGAAAGATGCATTCGCCAGAGGGCCCCATCTTAGATTTCCAGAGCATTCCGAAGAGCACAGCTGGACGCGTGATGCGTCTTGATCGGTTCTACTCGTGGAGTCGGGGCAACGAGAAGGAGCAAGATGTAATATCTTGGATCATCGAAAACAACTCTCTCCTCTTCCCAACACAACCGAGCAGGCATCCAACATGCAGATGCTCGGTGGGATGGGAGACCAGCATTCAAAAAGAGCGAGAGGTATCTTGGATGGGAAAACACCAAGCTGCGCAACTCCCACTACTCGCACCCAGCCTAGCCGCCAAGTTACGGTAGGAAAGCAGAAACTGCAGTACTGGCTCTGAGAGGAGGGGCTGGACAAAGAATCCTAGCTTGTGTGTTTGAAAGTCTGGACACTTACTTGGTCCGCTCCTCCTCTCCTTTCACACTTGGTTCGCTCCTCTTTCACACATCCATCAAGATTGATTCAGCCACAGCGAAAAACTTTTTACTATTAATAGTTCTGCCCATCCCTTGTGAGAAGCCTTGCATACTAATAACACTATATGTTTTCATGAAAGCTGCTGAAAGTTTCAATGTGCCACTGAACAACTGGGGTAAGTTCGGGCTCTTCACTGCAATATATGATTGACTTCCTGGAAGAACAGGCGTTTTTGACCTCCGCAATTGTTCTTGTAACAGCATTAGATACAAGCAGTGTCACAGCCATGGGGGGATACTTGATACCTTGTTGCAGTGTTTTTTTTGTTTCACCCCTCAACGACGCAACACTGATGGACTCGTCTCGTCTCCAGAAAGAGTTTTCCGTTAGCGGGTGGCAACTTCATTGCCATGATCATGCAGCCACCGGTCCCCGCCGTCCTCCTCCGTCCTCCTCCGTCGTCTCATCAGACGGGGGGGGGCGTTGGATTTTACAGCATCCCTTGAACTCACATGCACGTACTATACGGTACGAAGAGTGGCCATTTACTTTGCTAGCTCCCCTGCTCTAGTAGAATTCCGTTATCTTCTCAGCTGGCTAGTAGGTGCGCTTTGTTCGAAGTACATGTATTGAAACCAACTCCCACAGGAGCCAAAAGTGGTGGAAGATGATGGATACAAACGGGATTCGACTCAATGTTGCCGCCAACACGTCACACATCGAACCAAAGATCCGAAAGCAACGGCAAAGCCACACACCGACGACAACCCCTTCCACTAAAGGCCGGTACAACAGTTAGTTGTCAAAGGATATCTGACAACAAACCAAGAAGACCATGAACCTCTCCAACCTCTTGATCGCAGGCTGCCTGCTGGTACCCTGGACGCCAAGGCTTGTCAATGGTTGGTCCGTGGGTGGAAGAGAGTCTGTGGGGCAACAATGCGGTGTTGAAAATAAGGATCGTCGGTCGTTTCTAAAGCTGGTGCCCACCGTGGCTTCCATTGTGTTGACACAGAACATTCAACCGTCATTTGCGAAAGAAGCGGTTGGTTTGGAGGAACCGCCATCCGCCAATCTCTCTGGTGATGCCAAAAAGGTACGCGATCTCCCACCGAGCGCTCGCCTTTTCAAAATCATCGTTTTAGTAACCATTGGTTAAATAATTATTGGCAGCTCTTTAATGATGGACGAGTGTTTGAGTCGCAAGGAAACATGGCCGCTGCTCAGCGTCTATACGCCAAAGTCACAAAGATTGAGCCACGGTAAGCAAGGTAGCTTGTTGGGTGCATCATCGAAAACGGATTCAGGCGTTGATGCATGGCGAAGAACCTAATTTCACCTGCGTTCTTCTCCTCTTTGCTTTCCAGGGTAAGAAAAATGGAAGAAGAAACAGTGGCTGAATGTTGATGCTGCCTCGACTGATCCTCGTTGCTTGTCTGTGACTGGAAACAAAAGTTCATTTATGGATGGAGCAACTTGGGAAACACACAAGGTAAAGTAGAAGGCTCGCAATATCTACGACAATTGAGCTATTTTAGCTCACACTCATCCATGCTGGCTTGTTTCACGATCTATCCATCTATCAAACAGTGGCATTGGGCGATCTGGAACCTGCAGAATCATCCTACAGCACGGCCATTGATCTATGCCGAGAAAACCTAGAACGAACCGAGAAAGGATTTGGGATCAAACGTTGCGATGATCTTTCGGTATTGCTACTCAATCGAGGAAGCCTTCGTCTCAACAATGGAAGACCCAAGGAGGCACTCGACGATTTGGAGGGTTCCAGTGTTCTGCGAGGTATATAGTCCAGTTTCGGTTGTTGATTTTCGGGTGCCTGAATTGCCCATCTTATGCTTGTTTTCCATGTTGACAGGCCGACCCGATGCCATCATTGTTCAAAACTTGGCTCGAGCACGGGAAGTCAATGGCTACTATTCGCAGTCCGACCGTGACTACAACTTGGCAATCAGCATGACCGCAAACGAAGTCAACCCGTTTTGGTTGAGGTCTGCCCTGGTAAAGCTGCAGCTTGGCGACGTCCAGGGTGGGTTTGACTTGTTGAAGCGGGTCGATAATCGATTCCCAGAGGCACCGGAAGTGCGAGCGGCCTATGCGACCTTTCTGGCCGCAAAGGGAGATCAAATTGCCGCGCAACGCAAGTACCTAGAGATACCCGATCGACAGCGCGAGAAATTCACACAGAAAGAGTACCTTACCAAGGTCGTCACGTGGCCTCCGGCCGCGATAGATACGCTGCGTAAAGTCTCGACGGCTGCGGGGGACAAACAAACGTAACAAGCAAAAGGAAACTTAGTGGAACATTAGTTAGAACTTTGGTTCTTTCCTGGTACCGTCATGCTCGTGTCTGTCCACACCGGGCTCAGAACAATGCACGCAAAATATGTGGGTGAATCCAACAATACTTTTCTAAAGGCAAGCCCATCTGTGACACTTGCAAGCAGGAGCTGGCACTTTTTTCTACGAGGAACCTTGCCAGTAAAACAAAAGCTAAATTTTAGCCGCCACGCCGCCAGATCGCAGCATACAGTAGGGAATGAGTGATTGAATCTGCCAACCAGCCAAACCTGATACGCACAAACTATTTAGCATGCCCTTGGATAGACACTTCGAAGTGCGATGCCACGCCGAACGATTCATGGAGTTCAAGCGTGTTGATGTCATATTCCTGTTGGGCGTCCCAAGCAATGGTCAAGCACATAGACAAAAGGATGCGAAAGACCCTGTTTTGGCCCTTTTGAGCGGGTTCAAATGTGGGGGCGCAAAACTATAAATGATTTATA